TGCTGGGACTGGGGACAGGTCTTAGCAGATTAGGCTTCCCCAGGAGAGGGATGCAGTTGGATTGTTATGTTGATTTGGAGGGTACTCACTCCAGTGGGTGGAAGTGTGTTTTTCCCTCTAATGGGGGGGCATGGCTCGGAGACGACTGGGAGAGTCACAAAGCATGTGCCCCTCCCCTGCCTGGATCAAAGCATCAAGGCTGACCTGCTTGAGGAGGAGGAGGAGCTTATCCCAGGAGTAAAGGACTGTCCCACTCCCAATCCACTGAGAAAGGAAGATTCACAGTAAGTGAAGTTAACGTTCCATTCACCAACCATGGTAGAATAAAACAACATCTTAAGTAATACTATAGAGGACGTCCCAATAAAATATGAGAGATTGTATCTATTTTAGCAAGGGAGCAAGAACAAATTCTGTCAGAGTAGGGAAGATATACAGAGTGGCCTCTCATAACCCCCTAGCAAGAATAAAAGTCCAAAGACAACCAGGTGAGGTCAGATGATAAGCATAGGAGGGAAGAGAACTGGGGGAAGTATTCAAAAATATTGTGATGAACAAACTCGTTGAACAGGAAGAATAGATCTATTATAATGAAACAATTATAATCAATCTGCCTAAGCTGTTTTTTAAATTATAACTATTGATTCAGTAAACCTCAGTTCCTCAATAGATTCTGTTTATGTTTTACTTTGCAAGCTGCCTCAGGCAAGTTCTTTGGAGAGGTGGCAGAAAAATACACTAAATAAATGCATGGAGTTACAGCCTTCAAAGCCCATTGAAGTCAATAGGCTTAGAAGGGTGTAACTGCATCTAGGATTACACTGAATCATGAAGACAGGAAGCAAGTAGTCTCCTTTGTGTTAAATTCAGATTATTTACTTTAGCCATAACAAAAAAGATAAATATAAAATAATTTCCAAAAAATTCACAGCACAAACAGAACAGAGAAACAAGTTTAAGTCTAACGTAATCAAGAAACTGGCCTTTACAGCCATTTCTGTCTTTCAAATATTGCTTTTAAAACTTTGGTTCAGCCTTTGGAACTAAAAGGGACTAAAGGGAACCTCCAGATTCAGAAGTCGTTAAACATCTAAATACAAGTGCTAGGAGGCAACATTAGGGGAAGGCTTGGCCTCTGTGCTCTGTTCATTGGCACACCTGGACAACTGGTTGGCCACTGTATGAAATAGGATGTTGGACTTTTACCATCAGGGTGGCCAAACTTGTTTCATGTAAGAGCCACATAGACTAAATGTCAGATGTTCAAGACCCTCAAGATGACTTTGGAGCAAGAGGTGGGTTTGGGGGAATGGCCTGAAAGTGACATCACAGGAAGGGGTGGGTTTTGGTACAGGATGTGACATCATTGGAAAGGTGTGGCTGAGGAAGTGCCATCACCTGACCTTTGACTTGGAAGTGACATCACAAGACATGATATCACAAAGTGATGTCACATCCTTGCAAGGCACCACCCCCAAAGTCTCCTGGCTCCACTCCAAACATTGCCAGGATATATTGCAATACCTTATGAAATGACAGAGGTACCTCAGCCAGTGTGGACAAGCCATTTTCCATTGCACTCTGGCTGCTATTATCACTAAGGAACTCTTCCTAAGCTTTCAAGGGACTCCAAGATTTCCCAGGAGGAAGCAGAAATTGAAAGCTATTGCACAGTGTGTTACAATGCTTTGTGCAATAATTTAAATTTAATTTAAATTTGTTTTTAAGTGTTTTATGCTGACTCGGCACATGCTGCCGATAAATGTGAGCTGCCTTGAGTCCGCTTGTGGGGAGGGCGGGATAAAAATGTAATAAAATAAAATAAATAAATAAAATAAATAAAAACAGGCTTGAAGAACACACCCTCATTTCTCTTCCTGCTTCCTTCAAACCACCAGGTTTCAAGTAGACTTAAGATACCCAGGACATGTGCACCACCCATGTACAGACCATGCTGGACCCCTGCCTGCCTGCATAACTGTACAATGCTGGAAGACAGGTTGTACCTTCCCCTTCCTACAGGCACTGAAATCTCCTGCGCAGGCATGTTTTTCTTCACTTACCTGCACCTTAAGATACAAGCCCACAGCATCTGTTCTTGAAGAGAAAGGAGGTTTCTGAACTTTCTCACTGCTTTCACTCTCCCCAGAGGCATCCCATTTAGTCTCAGGCAGAGTCTCAGGCAGAAAAGTTCTTGGAATCAGTGAACTAAAGTGGACAGGAATGGGCGAATTTAACTCAGAAGACCATTATATCTACTACTGTGGCCAGGAATCTCGTAGAAAAAATGGTGTGGCCTTTATAGTCAACAAGAGAGTGCAAAAGGCAGTACTGGGATACAATCTCAAAAATGACAGAATGATTTCTGTCCGATTCCAAGGCAAACCATTCAACATCACAGTAATTCAAGTGTATGCCCCAACCACTGATGCAGAAGAGGCTGAAGTAGACCGGTTCTATGAAGACCTACAACACCTCCTAGAACTAACACCAAAAAATGATGTCCTCATCATCATA